ACATATCTCAAAACTATGACACTCAAGGGATGTTCATTTATTGGACAATTCATATCCTCCATAGGCTAAGTTTTGCCCCATAAGTTTTCAATTCTCCTGCACTTCTATGTGCACTTGTAGGTAGAGAATGAGCTCTGCACATGTCCTGGAGTTAAAGAAGCCCAGGGTTGAAAAGCATGAGGTACATGCCTCATGTGAGGCACAATGTGGTTGTGCTGGCAGGAAACCTACACAGATGGGTCATTACTGGGGGAGTGACTAGGATTAAGAGGTAAGGCCGAAAGGATATGAAGCAGTAAGTAAGCAGGGTTTGATTCAGTGACCATTCGTTTACCCTGAATTTTAATTCATTTAGTTATTTTAATTAATTATTAGTATTTTAGCTTATTATTCTCAGGAGGGGACCTAAGAGGACAGTGATGGTGCCTTGTCATGCCTGGAAATGGTGCCAACCTTTGAGGCCACATGGAAATCTCAGCTGTAGAGCTGTCTGCCTTTAAGAGTAGCAGAGAACTAGTTTTTATTAAAATATGTAGACATTTCCCATTTTTAAAAAATTCTACTGTAGTATTCATTTACATAAATATTTATTAAGCATTAATCACTACAACAATCCTGCTTAACGATTACTGTCGCTTGTATTCTACAGATAAAACTGGAGCACAGAAGAGTAAAATAGCTTGACCAATTTAACAAATATTTCTTGACACTTTACATGCCAGATTCTTCAGTTACTAACTGGCAGAGACTTTAGATCCAGGACTTCTGATTCACATTCCTTATTTTCTCTACTACAGATTTTGAAGGAAATGGAGAGACCATTCACTTCAACCTTTCACCCAGTAAAACAGTTTTTCTTGGTGCACCCCTGGTTTTGAAGGAAATGACAACTTTCTGGCCAGCTTATTTTCTCTTTAAAATGTATTTAGTGTCTATTTACATTCTTTATCAACTTTGATTAGAACTCATCTGGACATAGGAGAAGATATTGAGGTCCAAAGGGAGAACCATACACCTAGTCATTTACATGGCATGTGTGAGGCCCTTAAGATGAGGCCACTATGTGGACAAGGAGCCTGGGAAGCAGAAAAGAGGGAAAAGGTGGGTGCTGGCAGTGAGCAGAGCTGTGCAATGGCCTCGGAAGGCCAGAAGTCCTAGGATAACTGTTGTCTCTGTTAAAGGCATGCAAGCTCTTTGAAAGTCATCTCTGTTGAGCTTGGAGCAGTCCCTGAGAAGAGAGTTCTACTGGAGTCACTTCACTTGGGCCCTCTGAGCCACACTGAAAATTAGATGGGGTAGCAAAAGGGCAGCTCATGGGGACCAGTATCTGCGCGCACATTAATGCCTACCTTGTTGGAATAACTTGCACTCTTCAGCGTTTGCAGCTGTGGAGTCCCCAGGGAGTTGTCTGGCTACATGTGATTTTACATATCTGACAGCTAAATCAGAGATCCAAATGCCAAATCCGGCACTCAGGAACATTATGTGGATTTGTGACTCTCCCAAGGGGACGCTGGATCCATAAAGCAATGAATGGATTACAATGAGGCATAAATATAGCATTTTCATCTGACATACAATCCCGCTCTTTTATTTCTCACATTGTTATGTGAAGGAAATCTATACCCTCTCTTTCAGGTCTGTTCTCAGAAATTACAATTTTTTTAAAAAAAAGAGCTTGAAGAAAAAAATGCTCTTAATGCAGCAGGAATAAACTAAGAATGAAATATGGTAAGTACGATTACTCCACGGAGGTAATTTGGAATACAAGGTAAACTCCAGGATCACACACATTGTCAGGAAGCAGCAGTTTCAGGCCAGCATGTCAGCTCCCTCACCAACTAGCTGCATGACTTTGAGCCAATCACTTCATGTCTGTGGGCCTCAGTTTCCTCATTTGCCCAGTGGACTCCAAAGTTGTGGGCACACATTCCCATGGGGTTGGCAAAATGACCCACTGTGTGGTCCAGGAGGGACATCATAGAACTTTCTTTGAACTTTAAAAATTTCTAATTACAAACATGTTTTTCCAAGGCACATTATATATTAACACAGTAGCATACATCTATTGTTTATAAATGAATAAATATTCATATGCTGAAAGGGTAGGTTGAAAATGCTTTACTGGTAGAAGCATGTGGACAGAAAGTTTGGAGGCCACTGACTTGACCCATCCCAGTCATTCCACTGATGACAGGAAGGCCCCTGTGGATCTCACAGGCCATGATTCTGTGTATTTGAGAAGCATGCTCAGTTGTATTCCTTAGATTGCCCCAGTGACACTGAGTGTATCAGCAGTCCAAGGAAAAGGGTGTGTGCCCATTTGTGTTGGGTTGCAAATGCACTGGTTCCAAAACCACAAGATGCAGTTAATGGGCCCCTCCAAGCTGTGTCCTGCACAGTCAAGCACAGCACTGCTTTGTACTGCAAACCATTTTAATCCCTCATATTTGCTTCTACTGTACAGTTCACAAATCAATATCAAAAGTAATTTTATATGTCTGTACTGAGGGAAACAAGACAGGAATTATTTTCTTATTTTATATGTGAGGAAAGAGATTCAGAAAGGCCTAAGGACTTCCCCATGGCCACCAGGCTAGTATGTGACAGGTCCACTGCTAGAATCCCCGTTCTCCCATAAGGACTCCAGGACTCTTTGCACTTATAACCAAGTGCAAATGTGCTGCCTGGATCCCAGGGAGAATTAGGTGACAGTGCGTGAGTGGGCCAGTGTGAAGGCAACCCCCAGCTATTTAAAAAACAACGCAGAGCCCAGGGCCCACTGTTGGCAGATCAATAGCATCATTCTCATGTACACAAGAGAATGTGTACACCTCATGTAATACCTCATGTTATTCAGGGAGGCCTGGCAGAGAGAGGAAAGCAGATGCATGGGTTCCTCATGCCACCAGCTGTTGTGGCTTGCCCTGCTGCAGTTTCTGACAAGTACTGTTGTGACAGTCTTTCTACATGGTTGCAGGGAACAGCTTGATGGGAACAGCTTGATAGGAACAAAAAGCCTTGTTTACAGAGGTGCTAGGGAATAGAAAACACATATACTTAAAAGAATGTAATTTTAAGAAGGCCTTCAGTCCAGGCAGGTGTATCAGCACTAGAGGATGCCAGGTATGGCCACACCCCTGAACTGGACACCCTGTGCCCTGCGAAGAAGTGTGACCTGAAACCCAGGAGAGAAGTGTTTCTCGTTGCACTTCTTCACTCAAGCATGTGACAATGACCAGCAGAAATGCTATATCCTTTTCACCCTAAAGGGCATCACTGTGGTAAGACATGTAATATGTTTTGCTAACCATGATGGTGTGATGGTTGTGTTAGAATTGCAATGGTTATTTATCTATTTCTTCCTCTAGATGGCAAACCTCTTAAGGGCAGAGAGCCTGTCTTGTTTATTTCTATATCCCTACATAGAGTCTAATCCACATGCAGTATTTGTCTATACTGACTGAATAAATTGTAACCTTCATGTTGGCTGTCCATCTGTGAATCCTCTTTTTGCCAGGCATTAGCCTTACTGCAGGACTAAAAACCTCCTAAAATTCACCATAAAGGATTACTCTGATTAATACTTGACATGATGCATATCACCAGTAAAGGATTACTATCATAATATGTAAAGAAGGTTTACAAATTGACAGAAAAAAAGGCAAATAATTCAACTGAGAAATAGATGAACCAACACTTGAACAGGAAATTCACAAAGAGGGAAATTTATATAGTCCATATACAAAAAGAAAGCTCTCCTTACAAGTAATTGTGGAAATGCAAGTTTAAAACTCCAAGATGCCATTTTACTCCCTTCAGAGTAACCAGCATCTACAAAATCTGACCGTCGCACTTGCAGGCCATGCCGTGGAGCAAGGGACGCCTTACATATTGGTGTGAGTGTAAGCTGGCACAACTACTTGGAAGAGTGCTTTTGGCACCAGCAGGGAAAATTGAAATTGTACAAACCCAGCAGCAATTTTGCTCCTAAGGTATATCTCAGCAGTCTTCCTCAACCATTTGTGAAGAAAATTAAGCCCTAATGTCCAGAGGCATCATTGTATGAAATGAATTAACTTTTCATTTATGAATCTATTTTGAATGGTGCTAGTTATACACCTTCAGTGGGAACTTAAGAAAAGAGTTATATTCCTATATTCCAATTTTCCTCCCTGTTGCATGGTTCAGAAGAGGAACCCTGCTTGAGGAAGCCTGTCCACCTGGCAGGTACAAAAGAATACATGAAGAATGTCAGGAGAACATTATTTGTAAATACAAATTTTTTCAAAACAACCTAAATGTCCATCAAGAAGAGAAAAATATCAGCCCTGGCTTGTGTAGCTCAGTGGATTGAGCACGGGCTGCAAACCAAAGGGTTACCAGTTCAATTCCCAGTCAGGGCACATGCCTGGGTTTCAGGCCAGGTCCCCAGAAAGGGGCACATGAGAGGCAACCACACATTGATGTTTCTCTTCCTCTCTTTCTCCCTCCCTTCCTCTTTCTCTAAAAATAAATAAATAAAATCTTTAGAAATGAGAGAAAAATATTGCTGGTATATCATGGTATATTCCTGCAAGGGAATGCTATATCATTATAAAAAAAAAAAAGATGATCTAGAATCACATGTGTTAATAAGAGCAAATATAAAAAATTCTCATGGTAAATGTAAAATCTAAGTGCAATAAAATACATGTAGTATGATTGTATTTATATGAAATTTTAAAATAAGGAACATATCATTATATTTTGCTCATTTATACTTGTATACATAGTAAAAGTTTAAAAAAAGTGTAGGGCAATGATAAACTCCAGAGTAAGAAGAACAATTACCATTTGTATTATTCCTTATAGGATACTATTACATCATAATATGTAATTATATATTGAATATACTATATTTTATATAATATATAACAATACATAATATAAATATATGATATACAGATATATATTATTAATATATTATATTATTCTTTGTTTTATTTCCTTCCCTTTCCTAAGAGAGAGTGTGAACGCAGTCCCCCACTAGTACAAATTACGCAGTCGAGTCTCCCACATTTGGGGAAATCACAGGGGTCAGCACATCCATAGTGCAATGGATAAGCCTCACCCTGGGAAAACCACCTTTGTGATCATGGTACCTCTCCCACTAGGTAAGTAAATTTCCTATATTTTTAATGTATGTAAGTAGATGATTTTAAAAATGCACCGTGTTAAAAATATGTGAAATATATACTAGTCCCCTCCTCCCAATCCATCTGCATGAAAATTTTTAATTTTAAAAAAAATTTATTGATTTAGAGACAGAGAGAGATTGCTTTTTTGTTCCACTTATTTATGCATTCATTGGTTGATTTCTGTGTGTGCCCTGACTGAGGATTGAACCTGCAACCTCTGTGTATCATGACAATGCTCTAATCAGCAAAGCTACTCAGTCCGGGCTTCATGTAAACAATTATGATGAATGACTCTCCTTTCAGGAGACAAAGAAAGTTTTTCTTAAAATTATTTTTAAGAAAATTATTTTTAAGAATCTGACCATTTCATTTCTCATTTCAAAAACATGAAAACATATGCTGGTTTTTGAGTGCTGCTTGACAAAGTCTGAATTCCACAGCACAGCATTCAAAGCTCTCCACAGACTGGCTCCAGACCACTTTAGAAGCAGCTCTTCAATCTCTCGTCTTCACTTTACATTCCATTCAGATTGGAGTGTTTGCCATTTTCCAGATATACCCCCATACTTTCCATTTTGTGCTTTTGCCAATTACATTTTTACTTCCTGAGAACTCATTTCCTCATTCTTGCAATTTGATGCTATGTACCAAGGCCTTAACAATATGCCTACTCTTTCACACAGCAGTTCTCCTACAAGAAAAATAATTCAGGACATGTACAAAGACTTAGCTTAAGAATGTTTACTGTAGCATTGTCTCCAGTGTTAAAATATTTAAAATAACCTTGCAGAAGGAAGGTTTAAATAAATCTATTTCACATGGGACACAGCACTTAAAAGTGAAGACTCTGGAGCCAAAAGGCAGACTACCCAGGTCAGGTCACAATTCTAGAACATTCTGGCACACTGCAGGTTTGGGATCTTAGCCTCTCTGTGCCTGCATATTCCAACCTGTGAAATAAAAATAAACCAGTACCTCCTTTACAGAGTTGTTAGAGCAACTAAATGTGTTAATATGTTAAAGCACTTAAACATTATCTGTCATGTCATAAATTTGTTTATGAATGGCTAGTTCTGGACATATCTCACCTGCAAACTTTTGAAGCAAAAGAACATTCCAGTATACATTGTTGTCCTAAACCTACGAATGGTACTTTGTATTTAAACCTAGTGTGGTTCTTAGCACAGTTAAAGGTTTAAGACATGTGTGTTAAATGTTAGAATCAATACTATTCTAGCTGAGTGCATTTTAATTTTAGATTCCAAAGTACTGAATACATTTTAAGGGGTCAAAGAACCTAGGAGAACCATAGAAGAACCTAGGAGTTGGAAAGTTAGTCTTACAAGGACAATAAATAGGAGTAGACTATGATAGAAAACCAAGTCATTCTAGAAGGAGTGTGGAGCATTGGCAAAAAGAAGTACATGGGTTCTGGAATCACCAGCTCTGAGTCTGCCACTCATAATTTCCTAACCTCCAGTCCAGATTTTTTCTTCTTTCAAAGGACAATAATACCCACCCTTATAAGAATTTAGAAATAACAGTAATATTGTGTTACCACGTGCCAGGCACTGGTCTAATTTCTTTTTCCATTATCTTATTTGATCCTCACAGCAACCCCATGAAATACTGTTGTGGGTTAAATTGTTCTCCAAAACAGATATATTGAAGTCCTAACCTCAGGTAACTGTGAGTTTGAGATCAGGCTGGAGCAGAGTGGGCCCTTAATCCAATGTGACTCGTGTCCTCACAAGAAGAGGAGATTAAGACTTAGACACAAAGAGAATATCATGTGAGGACAGGGGAGGATTGAGTGATGTGTCTATAAGACAAGAAACACTGAGGACTGATGGCGAACACCAGAAGCTGGACAGGACAGGAAGGATCTTTCCCAAGAGCACAGGTGGCAAACACAAGGCTGAATGTGACCCTCCACCTTGTTTTATTTGGCCCTGCACCCTGTTTCTACCCTGCAGTAACACTGAGCTCCTTGCCCCTAGTTAAGGGGTAGTTACATTTATACAGCCCTAAAATTACATTCGGCCCTTTGAAGGCAACCATGAGGCTCATGTGGCCCCCGGGGAAAATGAGTTTGACACACCCGCCCTAGAGCCTTCAGAGTGCGGATGGCCCTACTGACAGCTTGATCTTGGACTTCTAACCTGCAGAACTGTGAGAGAATAAATTTCTGTTGTTTTAAGTCACCAAATTTTAAATCACAAAATTTGTGGTAACTTGTTACAGCAGCCTTAAGAAACTGATAGAGGCATCATTTTGGCAGATGTAGACACTGAGGCACAGAATAAGTAAGAAGCCTGACCAAACTCTCAGGATTTGAAACAGGGCTGACTCCAGAGGCTGTGCTCTTAATTATTAGATGATATTCAGCTGGGTTCTGGATAACTGCATTTTTGAGGGGGGCGTGGACAAAAGTTTTTATTTTCAACTTTTGTATTTTGATGTACCACACAGTACTTCGTTTCTAAGAGGCATTATTCTGTGTCATGGTTATCTGAAGTTTTGTCCTCATTAGCTCAGCTGAGTCTATGTTCAAATCATGCAGTTTTCACAAGGTTCACATAGCCAGGCCCCCAAGCCCAGCTGGGTACAGCAGGCTGGTACCGACATTCTTCCTCCATGGCTCCTGGGGAGAATGTTCAAACAGTGTATGCCTCCCAGACCACGGCAGAAGCATGCTGCTAGGTGCAGAACATTTTGTAGCCACTCTTAGAGGATTCTGCTAACTTAGAGAGAACAAAGAAGCAAATAAATGAAATCTGAATTACCCCCAAATTCCATTTTGCCTAAAAGCTTTACCTTCCTCTTCCATCAAAATGATTTTTTAAAATTGTGAACACTAGAAATATTTTCAGATTTGAACACTGTTTTTATTAATTCTACTCTCTCTCGCTCCTTCCCTTTGCCTGAGAAATGCAGACAAACGAATGCCTGAGAAAGGAGACTAGATGAGCAGAGACCATCCAAGGCTGGATTTCCAGTCCTGGTCTAACCAAGGCTTTGTTTAATTAGCCATACCTTACAGGACACAAGTTTACTGGGTAGCCACAATCTGCCTCCCCCTTTCTTTTTACCCTGTGCCTGCAGCTGTACGAAGAGCCTCCCCAACCTGCTTCCCCGGATAATGTGTAGCAATACAATCTATGCAGGAGTACTGGCGCTTGGTTTTCAGATGCGGGGCAAAGAAAAACCTATTCATCGACTTCTGTGGGCGCCAGGCTGCAGCAGGTTGTTATTCAAGTTGAAAAAGCTTCCATCCCTAAAGGAAAACTCCTCTGTCCTGGCAACCATGACCCTGACTCAGAGTGTAAGCTGAGCCCAGGCACACCTGGGCATCTGACAGATGAGCCAGGCGCAAAGAAGCCTCTGCTGACAAGCTTATCGGACAGCAGACACCTGCAGAGGGGCCCATACCTTTTTTCACAAGGGCCTATGCCGCAGTCTTGATCCAACAGGTCTGTGCACATGGTCAAAGGGAGATTACCCGGAGATTCACAAAGGAGTTGGATTATGCCAAGCCTGAACATCATGCTTGGAAGGAAACAGAGTAGCCCATTTATAACACAGGCTCTGTTCGATGGAATTTGTTGTACAGTTCTCACCGGTTTTGTTCCAAATCAAATTCTTCCTTGTTTTGGTGAGATAAGAGTGAAGGCAAAGGGAATTCTAACTTCACTAAGCCTACTATGTGCCTGTGTAGGAGTAGGAACTTTTAATTTAACAGCCTGTTTAATCCTCCTGAAAACCCATGTGATAGAAGTGGGGTTACTGTCATCCTGACTTTATAGACAGGAGAGGGTAAGTCACTTTGTGAGACTGCACAACTAATTAGGGGCCAGATAGGATTTGAAAATAATTCTTCCAAGGTTTTATGCCCACTAACAGCTACTCCTGAGCAGAACAACACTGGAACCCAAGGCCCTGGGGTTTGGGGCAATTCATTCTGTTTTGGGTTCCTCATTAGTGGGCTCATATTGGTATGCATTGACTTCACGAAGAGTTGAACAGCAGGCGTGATCCCGTTACCCAGAGCTCCAGGCAGATGTGCAGAATGGCCTGAGCTGAGCTGACCTTAGTAGACGCAGACAGGGCTGTCCTCAGACCCTGTGCTAGCAGGAACTACAGGGCAGTGGTCCCACTGTATCAATTTAGAGGTAGATCCATTTTTACTTTAAAACAGGGATCCTCAACTGGGGGCAGTTTGGTCACCCAGGAGACATTCAGCAATCTGGACATCTGGAAACAGTTGTGATTGTCAGAATTGGGAGTGGGTATGCTCCTGGCATCTTGTGGGTGCTGCTGCACATGTCAGAATGCCCCAGACAGCGAGCGCCACAAGAAAGAACAATCTGGAACAAAATGTCAGTAGTGCTTAGGTTAATTCTGCTTTGAAATTCCATCTTCACCATGTATGTGAAGTTTTTAGCACAGTGGCTGGCATGTGACCATCAACAAATGTGATCTTATTTAGCATCAAGTGATACCATGTGATGCTGAATCCAAGATCCCCAGTAGGTGACCCCTGGGGCCCTCACAGTGGCGAGTGAGGAGGAACTGGATGCACTCTTCTCTCAGTGGCTGCACAGGTCACTAGAGCTGGCTTGCACCAGAATCTGGCCACCTAGCTACTCCACTAGCACTAGTTCTCTCTTAGTGTATATAACTCCCCATAAACTGATACATTCATTGAAGGGTTTTTCTTGCTTTTTAGAGAAGACATGGTATGTGACTAGCAGTGGGTGGCATGAAATGACCTCTGGGAAAAAAAATGTCTATTGAGTCTGAGCCCCAAGGCTTGGGCAGGCATGGGGTTTGGGGGTTTAAAAGCAGCATTGCCAAAGGATAAGAACACAATTTGGGGGGTCACAACTGGCTTTTGAAATACAGCTCAACCCCTTCTGAGAGCTACCATTTCCTAAAGTATAAAGCAAGAGTACTGATTTTTACTTCCGAGAGAGAATTAATT